TGTGTGTGTGTTTTCGGGGACCCTGACGTGCCGCTGTGCGGTCTCCCTGGCAGCTGGTGTTGAAGAGCTCCAGGATGCCCATGCAGGTGGACGGGGAGCCCTGGGCACAGGGGCCCTGCACGGTCACCATCACGCACAAGACCCATGCGCTGATGCTGTACCACTGCGCCGACCAGACCGACGACGAGGACGACAACTCCAGCAGCTCCGAGCACGAGGCCCCTCCCAGCGCGCCGGCGCCCGGCCCCGAGGGCTAGACCCGGCTGGCACAGCAGGCACGCCTCCCGGTAATCCCCGAATCCGCAGTCTCCATCTCCCTCTCCGGGGACTCTCCGGGGCACCGGCGGTCTGGGTGCTTGTGCCAGGATTTGAATTTTTCACTTTTGTACTTACTGGTGTGGACTGTCACTGAGGTCGAGCAGCCCTGCAGGGGGCGCTGCAGGCCGTGCTGGTCTCTGGCACCAGCAGGGTAATTAAACACAAGCCCTGCGTGTCCCAAGCGTCACGCCCGCAGGACTGGGAAACGGTCACTGCAGCCGTGACAACTGTGATGCCAAACAACCAGGACTGATGTCAGGAATGGTAGAAAAAAACAGCCACTGTTGTCACGACCCCAGAGTTGAGCTTAAAGGAACCTGATCTTTGTTTTTGTGTTCACCAGTACTTGCTGAGTGATAATCCCAGTCTTACATGTTTACTTCATTCGTCTTTTTTTTTTTTTAAACGTTGCGCACAAGGCTGGATGTCATTTTAATTCCAGCAGAACAGAAGAAGTGTTTTTCCTCCGGAGTTCATCTCGGTTGTGTGCAGGAGCAGCGAGCAGGAGGCTTGTGCTGAAACAGACAGGAAGTGACGATTCTTTGTTCTTCGCCTGTTTCTCTGTCATGTCTCAAGCACAGAGGACACTCCAGTCCTGGTCCCGCAGGGTCAGGGTGTCCGCAGGGGGTCCAGTCCTGGTCCCGCAGGGTCAGGGTGTCCGCAGGGGGTCCAGTCCTGGTCCCGCAGGGTCAGTGTGTCCGCAGGGGGTCCAGTCCTGGTCCCGCAGGGTCAGGGTGTCCGCAGGGGGTCCAGTCCTGGTCCCGCAGGGTCAGGGTGTCCGCAGGGGGTCCAGTCCCTGTCC